CTCTTCCAGTACAGCTCTCTGCTGTGGCCTGGGAAAGCAGTGGAAGATGGCCCACGTCCCTGGGCCCCTGCACCCATGTGGGAGATGGGGAAGGAGCTCCTGGCTCCTGGCTTCGGATTGGCACAGCTCCAGCCATTGCAGCCATTTGGGGAGTGAACCAGCAGACAAAGACCTTTGTCTTTCCTTGTCACTATCTGTAACTCTACCTCTCAAATAATCTTCAAAAAATAAAAATAAAAAATAAAGCTTTCCCCAGTTATTATTCTTTTATTCCTAGGTTTAAGACATTCCATCTAACTTTTTCTTCTCCTCAAATCCTCTGAAATAAAAGAAATAATTTAAAAAATCCATAGCGATGGTAAACATCCATGAGGAATGATACCAGTAGACCATTTTCCTTTCATCTATCTACAAGGCCTTTTCACCTGCTCTTCCTTGTGATTAGAACACACTAATTCCATTCATCACCTAGTCATCACTTCTCTTGCTAGGTATCTCAGATCAACTGTCGCCTCTCCAGGCAGACTTCCATGATAATATCTCCTCCGACACACATCCCCACACACAGCCCAGTGAAAGGTGCCCTCACAGGGTATGCACTTTGTGCAACTGCTTAATCCCTGCATCCCATGAGACTGCACAGAAATCCCACCATGTTAGGATCTTTTTCTTTCTGTTCACCACTGTTTTATAAAGCGCTCCACAAAAAGCAGTTGAAGAACAGATGAGTAAGTTTCTGGAAAACTCTAAAACTTTACAAAACAATGATGGCAAATCTGAAGAAAAATAAGGACCTAGTGTCAGTCGACGTTCCCAGCAACAGCTCAGAATAATCCCATTATCAGCGCAGTGCAGGCTAGAGAGGGAGCTGGCACAGACGACTGGCAGCTACAGGAGCAGAGCTAGTCCCTCCTCCTGCTGTCCAGTGCATATGCCTGGTCTAGGGGAGGGATGAGAGGCTGGCACCCGAGTGCAGCACTCTCACAGAGGGGGGCCAATGAGAAGACAGCAGAGCCTCTCACCCAGCAGGGCAACTAAGAGAAAACCTTGCCCTAAACAGGCCCCACCTCCCCCAAGCCAGCTGAAGCTGAACTCCTCTATCAGAATCTACATTCACAAGGATTCTCAGCTGAGCTGAGGAAATACCATCAGTTAGAGCTCCTCACCTACAAATGGGAACAGCAATACAAGAAATAACAAACACCTGAGGTGAGCACGCAGCAAGGAGGAGGCAGCAGAATGAAGAACCAGAAAAGATGGCAGACAGGTTGAGAGGATGGGTTTTACAGTTAAACTCCGAATCTGGATCCCAAGCCTGACGTTCGAGTTTCCTTGTGCACAGACACACACTCCTCACCATGGGGAAGCAGCTGCTTCAGGAAACAGAGCAAATCTTAAAACGAATACACTCAAAGAAAGCCAAGAATATCACACACCACAGAGGACAGAGGAGGTCATCTGAGCACAGCATCTACATTCCTCCTGCCCCCAAGGTCTTTGAACGAACAAGAAAGGACTCTCGTTTGTAATTAAGTTTAAAGAATCCTGGATTCACAAGCAGCACGATCAGCAGACTATACCGTTTACAGAATCCCTGGAAGACAGATAATATGTGGGATCAAAAATAGAAGGGACTCTTGGAAGACAGAGCATTGCTGACTGTGGCCCCAGACAGAAGACCAAGAGTTGGTCTCAAGTTATCTAAGAGAAACGCAGAGTCAGCAAACACTCTGTTTTCTGTTTAAGATTTATTTATCTGAAGGCAAAGCGATACAGAGGGAGGGACAGAAAGATCTTCCATCCACTGGTTCATTCCCTAAACAGCCATGATGGCCAGGAGCCTCTTCAGTCTCCCTCACAGGTGGCAGGAGCCCAAGCATGTTAGCAGGGAACTGGATCAGAAGTAAAGCAGCCAGGACATGAACTGGTGCCCATATGGAATACAAGTGTTGCAGATGGTGGCTTTAATGCACCACACAACACTGGCCCCTATTTTTAAGAGTTCTTTGTGTTCAAAAGAAACTACCCTTTTAATATAGGTTCACGTGTTTTATAAATGGCATGTTTTATTTACAAACCATGTGTATGATGTTTCTCTGTCATAAAAAGGTTCTAAATGATTGAAAAGTCACAATTACAAGACTTTTCTACTCTAAAAGTAAAAAAAAACAGCACTTTCTAATAAATTAGGCTTTCCATTTTTATAGGTAAATTTTTGATCCATCAGTAATTTTCTTGATGCAAACAGAACAGTAAGAATTCAATTACTTTTTGACCCAGATAGCAGCTGGTTTTCCCAACACATTTATTGAACAATCAATGTCATCAGTTACTTCTTACTGTATAACCAATTACTCCAGAAGTATGAGGCCTGCGACGACCTTGAACACTATTTCACACAGTTTCTGCAAGTCAGGAACTTGGGAGCAGCTTAGTTCTGTGGCTCAGGTTTGAGAGTGGCCTCTCCATGAGGCTGCAGTCATGCAAAGGCGTCACTGTGGCTGAACATCCACCTTCAAGGTGGTTCACTCCCAGCCCGGCAACTGGATGAACCTGTTCACTGAGGCCTTAATTCCTCTCCATACTTACTCGCCACAGGGTTGTTGTACATCCTAAGGCTACAGTAGTTAGCTTCCCGCAGAACAGATGAGCCAAGGGACCACAAGACAGAAGCTGTAAAGTCTTCTATGGTCTAGCCTTGTAAGTCACAGCTTTCATAATATCCCACTGATTTCACAGGCCAGCCCTGTCTACACAAAAGTGAGAACAGAAGGAACCAAAGACTACTGGAAGAAATCTTGGAGGACAACAACTACACAAAAGTTGTTCTATTATTTTAAAATAAAATGTATTGGACATATACTAAATCCCCCATATATACCTGGGCTCATTGTCGACTATTAACAATCAAGGTTTTTTTTTGTCTCATGGATCTGGGGGTTCACAGTCCAATATCAGCAGGACCCACTGGTTCGGCCTCTGGTGATGATCTTCTTGCTGGCAGAGTCCCAACACAGAGTGGCACACAGCAAGAGACAAGGAACAGGTCTATTCCCATATGGTTTCTTTCAAAACGTCTAGGATCTAGTCATGAAGTTTACACCCTAAAGAGCTAACCAACTGGATCTGTACCTGTAGCACAGCAGGTTAAGGTGTGGCCTGCATTGCCAGCATACCATATGGATGCTGGTTCAAGTCCTGGCTGCTCCACTCCAACCCAGCTCCCTGCTCACACACCTGGGAAAGCAGCAGAAGATGGTCCAAGTCCCTGGGCCCCTGCACCCATGTGGGAGACCCATAAGAAGCATCTGGCTTCAGCCTGGCACAGCCCTGGAAGTATCAGCCATTTGGGGAGTGAACTAGTGAATGGAAGATCTCTTTCTTTCCTCTTTTTATGTAACTCTACCCTTCAAATAAATAAATCTTTAAAAAAAGTTAATCAAAGGCCCTTCCTCTAAACTTCATAATTGGATTAAGTTCTACCCTCTTCATACCATTCACTTACAAATTTAGATTGGGACTATGCTCAATTTACAGAACAAGGGAACACTGACATATTACCAAATTGACTGTTCTCAAGTATAAACAAGGTATGAAATCATGTTAAGTTTTAATGAACCTCTTTAGAGGTTTGTGGTTTTCTTCACAAAAGTCATATAGTCTTGTCATCAAGCTTATTACATGTTTTGAGGTTTGCAATCATGAATTCAGGTTTTTCTATTACTAATTATAAATGTTTATTGTTGGTATTTAAAAAAAAATACCTGCTAGGTATGCCGTATCAGAGAAGAGTTTGGAGGCCTGTTTCACTTCCATTCCAGCTCTGTAACGCACCTGGGAAGGCAGTAGAATGTGGCCCAAGTACTTGGACCCCTGCCACTTAAGTGGGAGAGTTGGATGGAGTCCCTGACTTCCGCCTTGGTCTAGGCCAGCCCTGACAATTGTGGCCATTTGGAGAGTGAACCAGTGGATGGAACACCTGTCAACTCAGCCTTTCAAACAAATAAAAATCTTTTATAAAGCTACAAAATGTTGTACAACTTGAAAACAACCACTTGATTACATTGTTCCTAAGTTTGTATATTTGTTTATCCAATTCTATCTCCAAATTATAATAATTTTGTTTGGTCCTGTCATTTACTGAAGTTTCAAATCAAAATGTGTCATACTTATTAAAAAAAACTTATCCAGGGACTCTAAAATAAATGTTTTCAGGATTGCACTACAAATAATGTAATTAATTTGAAACACATCTTTGGGGTCACCGTTTTGGCATAGGGGGTTAAGCCACTGCCTGTCTCAAGTTAAGGGTGAATCTTCCGATTCAGCTCTATGCTGACGTGCCCAAGAAAAGCAGCAGCAGATCTCCCAAGTGCTTTGGAGACCCAGATGGCGTCCCTGGCTCTTGCTTTCACCTGACCCACACCTGGCCGTTGAGGCAGTTTGGCAAGTGAACCAGAAGACAGAAGATCTCTGTCTCTCTGTGCCAATCTGCCTTTCAAATAAATCTCTCCAGAAAATTGCAACTTTGACTATGTTAATATGGAAAACGCTCTCATTCTTCTATTCCTATTAAGGATTTTATCAAGTAACTTCCTAACAGCTACCAAAGCATGGGTTCTTCCTTCACTGGCTTGTTCATAAATTGAATTACACAAAATTTCTTAATAATGAATGATTCTTGATACTGAGCAAACACAGGAACTTCTACTTGATCTTTTTTTTTTTTTTTCAAATGAAGTACTGGATTCTACTTGAAAAATTTACTTTCTACATCAAAATTCTGTATTTTTTTATGTTCTATGTTTAAATCAGAAATATAATGTATTTTGAAATTTCTAAGATGTTAGGGTTCATGTAATTCTAGATTTTGAAATAAAATCCATCATCTTCACACACCTGCAATTTTGCCGACATAGTCCACATCATTGCTATCCTACATAATATGCTATTTGCCTAGGTTGGCTTATCTTTTCATGTCACCAAATATCACTGAGACATTTTCAACCACAAGAAACAGACACCAAGTATCATAAGACAACAATGACCTAACCACAAAAAGATATGCCCAGAAGCAGAACAGAGTCTTGGGTTCTTCAGCTCAGGGAAGCCAATGATATCCCCCCAAAATTCAGGTTCTTGCCCTCTCTACACTGTCACCCTCAGAGTATGAGATCTGTCCTCAAATAGACTCCATCACTGCAAAACTGTGTCAGAGCCAACTGAGTGTGTTCTAGCACAAAGTTTCCCATTGTAACTTCACTTCACCCCTTTTTCTTTGATCACTTATGCTGTTCATCTCATATCTAAGACAGCATTTGCTTGACCTTAGGTTTTCTTCCAAAAATTGTCCTGTTTTAGCCCTTAGATTGAAGTCTATGGTACCCTTTGAGTTAATTTTTATTCATGATATAAGGTAGAGTTCCAGAGTAATTTCTTCACATGTTAATAACGAGTTGTCCCAGCACCTCTCATTAAAAAGACTTTCTTCCCCACTGAATACTATCTTTCAAAAAGTGGTGCCAGAACAGTTTCTTTCTTACTGTCTCTCAAGTCTAAGAGCCCACCCATGAAGCAGAGAATAGAATGGATTCCTTGATAAAATTATGAAACTTTACAGGAAGAAATCACCAAAAAAAATAGTGAAACATAAAACAATTTCTCATCTCTCTGTGCTTAGGAGCAATTTCATAGTAGGCACGACTTGTTTGAAAGAATTCACCCACAAAACTCTTTATGGAAGGATTGTTCTTCAAGTTCTCTCATTCTCTGCTGTTAGTGCTGTTACCTCACATATTTTTTCCTCTGTACTTAATTTGGGTAGTAGTATAACTCGTTCTATGAAAGTATCTATTTTCATCTGTTTCAAATTTATGAACATTTAATTACATAATACATTTACATTTTCTTAGTTTTCCATTTCATTCCTAATTTTTCATATTGTGCTATTTCAATTTGGTACAATTGAATCTATAATATTGGATTTTTTCATCAAAAGAAACAAGACTTATCAACTGTTGTTTTATGTATCTTTTCACATTCCTGTATCTTTAATAATTTTCTCCATTTCCTTTTGTAATACCCAAGCTGACTTGCTCAATTTTTTATTCCCTTTTGCTAAAAATGAGTATTTGACTATATGTTTTTCTCTATGAAGCATTCTGATCATATCCAATAGTGTTAATATGTATTTTCCATCATAACTCTTCTTGAAGATTTGTAATTTTACATTTTTCTCTTTGACCCACTTGAATTATTTAGGAGACAGCTTGGGAGATGGGGAAGGACCTGGATTTTTTCAATTTCCCTGTGTAACATGTTTGGAAATCTCTTTATGGTAGAGAATGCATTTTACATTATTTAAAAACTGTCAAAATTTTAGTTTTATGGCCTACAAAAATGATGCTTGGAGGAGGGGAGTGATTTCTTGAGGTCCTAAAGAAAAGGGATCCTCTAGAGAGCAGAGTTCTTCATGTGTGGCCCACCCTCTATGGTTGCCCTAAATTATCAGGATATTTGCACCTCTATTATCCTTCCACACTGTCTCATCTGCAAGAAAGAGGAGTTGCTGTCTCATTACTATGTTTCTTTCCATTCCCAGTAATTAATGCTTATTGTGATATAACCTACCTCACAAAAATCCATATTATGTCTTTACTGTAGTTTATACCTTTTGTCATAATTTTAGCCCATTTTAGTGATTTCTCATATTAATAAAACTCTAATATTCTCTTGTTTGGATTTATCAATTTATTTAAGCCTTTGTCATTTAATTTTGAATGTACCTTCTACAGAAAACATTGTATAAGACTTTCTGTGTTTGATCGGTGGCTTTTTAGGAACTAACTGTAACTTTGGCTACATTTTCCTTTTGTTCACCCAACTTTCTCATCAGTTGAGTTGGATGAGCCTGGCCTGTTCTACTAACCACCAATCAATCACAGGACAGCACAAAAATATACCCCAGTTTAACAAAAGACCTCTCTCCCTCTCTCTGCCTCTGTCACTCTGCCTTTCAATTAAATAAAAAAATCTTTTTAAAAAATCCAAGGGCCGGCGCCGTGGCTCACTTGGTTAATCCTCCGCCTACAGCGCTGGCATCCCATATGGGCGCCGGGTTCTAGTCCCAGTTGCTCCTCTTCCAGGCCAGCTCTCTGCTGTGGCCCGGGAAGGCAGTGGAGGATGGCCCAAGTGCTTGGGCCCCTGCACCCGCATGGGAGACCAGGAAGAAGCACCTGGCTCCTGTCTTTGGACCGGCATAGTGTGCCGGCTGTAGCGGCCATTTGGGGGGTGAACCAACGGAAGGAAGACCTTTCGCTCTGTCTCTAACTCTGCCTGTTAAAAAAAAAAATACAAGATTATATAAAATCATCACTAACTTGTATTAACAACATAGTTGAATATAACTATCAGGCCACAGCCTCACACAGAAATTTCTAACATTTAATAGACAAGATATTGGAGATAAATTTTTTCTTTTCTGTCTTCTGGATTGTCTCATCCTTAGAATTCCAATATTTTTCCAGGATGGGTCTAAGTAGGAACTTTTCCACTCATTTTAGCTGTTTCTCAAGTCCTTCCACTTCACATGCTTCTCTGACACAGGAATTTTGTGATATCCTTATCAAAGTTCTGATTTCCTGCCTTCTATGTCCTCTCTCAACATTTGTGTATCTTTGCCTAACATTCAGGGTAGAATAGAAAATGCAACTGCATCCCAAGGTTCTCAAGTTTGTCATTCATACTCTCCCATTTTGGGAAACAAAGTTGTCTTTGATTGCTTTAATTTAAGTTTTAAAACACTGCAATTTCAGTTTCCTTGAATTCTTTTATCGAGGCCAGTTCTGGGGTTTTGGGTTTCTTGTTATTTTTATTGTTCTTGCTCATTTTTTGGCATTTCTCTGATCTCAACCCCTTCCTCCTTAAGGACCTCTGATTTATTCTCAAGACTAGCAGAGAAAAGCACAGAGTGAGAGGGATCCTCCACCCACTGGTTCACTCCTCAAAAGCTCACACCTAGGGCTGGGCCAGGTCAAAGTTAAGGGGCTAGAACTCCACCCACATGGGTGTCAGGGGCTCAAGCACTTGGGCCATCATCCGAGGACTTCCCAGGCACATAAGCAGAGAAGCTGGATCAGAATCAGGCAATCCGATATGGAAGATGGACATTGCAGGCAGTGCTCAACTCGCTGAGCCACAACACTGACCCCCTCAAGGTCATGATGTTTGAGACTAACAGATTTGTACTAAATATGTTTTTCACATGTCATCACTTTCTGAAAGACACATTCTGTCTTCAGAGTCATTCTCTCCACCTCCTTTATAGAATTTTTTCCATAAGCCACATGCTAAGCTTCTTGTGAACACTTGCCTTTGGCAAGAGCTGTAGCCAGACCCGTAGTTCTTACACAGACATTAGTGTCTGCCATGTCTTCTGACTCAGCACTCCCCACATGCTTACAGGTCCTTCTCCTCAGATTTAAACTTGGAAATAGGGATGCGCTCCACCCTAAATCCAACAGGTAACGTTTGACAGAAATTCCTTCTAACGAATGTGGAAAGAGTACAGTTTGCTGCTCTGAGACCCCTCCTGGCTGCCGTCATAAGCAACCAGATGTAATATACACAGACACAAAGCTCTTTTTTCTGTCTCTACATGCTTCAAACGGTGTTCTGTAAATGACTTCTACCCAGGGCTGTGGAGCACCCTGACCCATTCCCAGCACCCACACCCACCCCCACTGCTGAGCTGGGTCAGGACCTGAGGTCTTTATAGCAAAGAGATAAAAGAAACAATCGAGATGTAAAGAAGTGGCAGGTGAACTGACCTCTCATGAGTGGTTCCAGAGTCTACGGATGACAAAACTTTAGCTACTCAGCATGACCCGCAGGCTCCCAGAAGTTAGGCACTTCGTGAAATGTGCTCTGCCTTGTGTGTGTGACCATCTGTTCTGTTCAGGTTGAGGAAATAAAACGTGTTCTCTAGAGTTCATGGCTATTCTCAATCCATTCCCCTAATCCTACTGAAGAAGATTCTACCCAAGGTTGTCATATGGCATTTGCCTGTGTTTGCCATCTTCATGGATATTTACTGGAAACTTGGAAGCACTGTAGTAGTCTGTCATCACATTATCCCATAAATGTCAAACATAACAGTTTGCTTCCTTTTATAAGTAATTGTATCATCTACCACCGTTTGTAGTGAGAACTTAGAGATTATAGGCTAAATTTGTGCATTTAATGCACGCTAATTTAAAAGACAGAATTACGTTTTCACATCATTCTCAGGTCAGGAGACAGACTTGCAAACAACTGATGGCAATTGTTCTTGCTGTCCCTTAGGGGTTAACACTTGCTCAGCCATCTCTTCGGGTTGGCACGCCCTGTACTAAGTGGAAGGAGCCATCTGCTCTGTTGTCTGAAAACTACCACTTGTACGGAACTCCCCTGCCAGTGAGGAGACAGGACTGAATAGTCACACACTCGTGAGGCTGCTTTGCTACCTAGACGTCAACAATCACTCTACCAAAACTGCATTCGCCGAGCCATAGACATATTTCCATTTAAAATCAGGTCTACATGCTAACTGTGTCCTATATGCATATTACTTTAAAAAAAAAAAAAGACTTATCTGAAAGGATAACTTCAAGAGATGGGGGAGAGACAGAGAGAGATCTTCTATCTGCTGGTTCACTCCCAAAATGGCTACAACGACTGGTCTAGGCTGAAGCCCGGAACATCATCTGGGTCTTCTACATGCATGCAGGGGCCCAAACACTTGGGCCATCTTCCCCAGCTTTCCAGAAGCATTAGCGGGGAGCTGGATCAGAAGTGAGAAGCCAGGACTGGAACCAGAGCCCATGTGGGATGCCAGTGTCACAGGCAGCAACTCAACCTACTCCACCACAATGCTGGCCTCTATGTGCATATTACTGGCTATGGCTTTGAATCAAAGTAATTCTGGCAGCAGGAACACCACGTTTTAACAGCAGGATTGCTGAAGTCCTTTCCCTGTGATGTTAACAAGCTGTGTCCATGAAGGCAATGTCAGCGGTTCACAGTGCTGGGAGTACTGGACTGTGGGATGGCGCTAGGCTGCCTTGGCTCAGCACTGCCCTATGATACTCACTCTCTGAGATTAAGTGCAAACCATAAAATGACAAAGACTTATTCCTAATGAACAGAAATGCACCACAAATTTTACAGCATTAGAGTTTCATTATGAAAGAAAAGAAATAATTTCAAACCTTCTAATGAATTCAGTTATTGCAGATGGTAATGTATTATTAATTTATAATACTTCAAAATCAGCTCCTTAGTAGCAACATAAATGAAAACCTGAGGAAATATTTTTAAAGATTTATTTATTTAAGTCAGAATTACAGTGAGACAGTGAGACACACAGAGACAGACAGAATCAATCTTTCATCCACTGGTTCACTCTCCAAATGGCCAGGGTTGGGCCAGGCCAAAACTCAGGTGCTTCTTCCAGGTCTCCCACATGGGTGCAGGAGCCAAAGCACTCAGGCTATCCTCCTCTGCTTTCCCAAGCACAAAATCAGGGAGCTGGATTGGAAACAGAAGAGCCAGGACTCGAACCGGTGTCTGTATAGGATACAGCACTGCTAACGGCAGCTTAACCCTCTGCACCATAGCGTCGGCCCAGGAAACTTTTTTTATACTGCCCTTTTTAATACATCATTTGCTTTAACACGAGCTGTAAAATAAACAAAGGCTCACTGGTTTCAGAAGCTCTTTTATGACTGAGTGCTTTTCATTCACTTTTACACTTCATCAAGAGACCTTGTATGTGAGTTTCAGGGTTGACAAGCTTGCCCTATAAACTGTCAGGTACTAATATTTTGTTTTGCTGGTTATACACAGTCATTCTTCAGTATCAATGGAGGATTAGTCCCAGGACCCCCAATATAAAACTCTGCCAATGTGCATCTCTATTTTATATAATGTGACGTGTTTGTACATCGTCTATACCCTCCCATACAAGGGTACTTTATGGAAAAACAGAATTAAACTACTCTGATATAAATTTTTTTGAAATTTATGCATCATTCTTTTCTAATATACATTGTTAAGAACTTTCTGAAGATTCTACATCTTGCCATATCTAGATTACTTATAATGACTTACCCAATGTAAAATACTATGTAAACTCTTGCTATTTTGTATTGTTTTAGGGAATAATGGCAAGTATAGTCTGCAAAAGTTCAGTACTCATAACGTTTTTATTGTTGAGGATTTTCAGTCGACAATTCGTTGAATCCACAGATGCAGAACCCATGGGTGTGGAATCCATAGATACAGAGGGCCAACTGTAATCTCTGTCACATCTGCTCTGCTTGTCACTACAGAGCAATAGTGACCATAAACAGAGCAAAAACAAATGAGCATGACTGTATTTCAAGAAAACTTCAGCCACAATATTACTTACACTATTAAATCAGGCAGGGATTCAAACTTAAGACAACACAATTACACGTATTTACTGACTCTTGTATAGAGAAAACAGAAAACAATGTATTTTCAAAAAACAGTCAAAAATTATGCATCACAATAAAAGTGCAAATTAATTTTGTGCCACAAACAGTGTTTAAAATGCTATGTGTTATTTATCTCAGTCCATTCTCCTAAGAGCCCAGGAGGTGTGGAATTGAATGGGAAGACTGCAACCTCATCAGGTGAAAATGACAAATGGGCACACAGAGACCCAAGGGCACCCACTAACCCACCAGGCTCTCCACGTCCTGGTGAGTCTCCAGTCCAGCCATCTCATGACCCAAACCCTTAGATGCTGGTTTTAGTTCTCAAACCATTTTCTTCACTCAATTCCCATTTACCCAAACTGCTCTGCTCTAAAACCATGAAAACTGGATAGAAATACAGTAGTAAGAGATAATCTGTTTGCAATCCCTCTGATAAACTCTGCAAGTGAATAAACGTTTCCCATAAAAGTGAGTCGGGCAAAAGTGATTTCTAAATGCTCACTTACACAGCAGCCTAACGGAGTGACAAGTGCCTTTGCTGTAGGTAAGCAAGCACGCAGCATGTTCTGCCTTTCACAAAAGGAGAAGCTTGAGAACACTTTCTTCTCTTTAACACCCAGAAATGAACATGACTTGTGTAAGTGACACAGCAGTATTAAACTCAACCCAAAATATTTTATCTGTTTCAGATTTTTTTACCCACAAATACCATTATTACTAGGGTTAATTTTCGTTGGAGAACAATAATGCACTTGTAAAAATCAAACAAGACTTTTTCCTGTTGCAGTTCATTTTCTCTTGGACTTCTGCAAGGTTTAGAGTTCTGACACTTTTTAACAGTCCTTCTGCAATATTCATCCTTGAAGAGAATATTTTGAGCAGTATCAGTATGCAATAAATAGAAATTTTAAATATGTTCTATTCTAATTTTATAAGAAAAACGTTATACGGTCTATTCATTTGTACTGCAATCTTGTTACAACAGTTGATATCAAAATATAAGTAAAACATCATTATCATCATCCAAACAATCTACTGAAATACCTTGGTGCCTTATTCTAACATCTGAATTTATACTTAGGAAATAGAGCTTTTGCTTAAACAGAAAGCAAGCGAGCAGCTCAACAAGTCAAAGCAGAGTTAAATTATATTAGTCTAGACTTCAGGTCAGCAGACTACAGCCCCTGGACCACATCTGTCCACTCTTGCACCTCTAGCCCTTACCCCATCTGTTTTGGCAAATAAAGCTGTACTAAAACACAGCTCCGTCCATTCACATATATATTGCCCATAGCTGCTTTTACACTACAAAAATAGGATAGGTAATTATGACAGAGGCCACAGAGCTTGAGAAACCCAGAATGTTTACTGCTGGTTTGTACCATCATGTCTACCCAACAACCTACTGCACACAGGCTTTTGATACAGGATGCAAGGTGAACATACAAAACTCCTAAGAATGAGTATCAAAATGAAAAACACAGTACTACTTACAATCACCCCAAAGAAAACTAAATACTTAGGTGTAAAGCTAACAAAATCCGTACAGGACTTGTATGCTGAAAGCCATAAAGTACTGAGGAAGGAAATCTAAGATGTAAACAAATGAGGAAATATGCCATGTTCATGGACTGAGAGACTCAACAAAGATGTCACTTCTCCCAAAATTAATGTAAAGGCACAACGCAATTCCTATCAAAATTCCCCAATATTCACTGTAGACAAAAAATGTTTAAATGTATATAAGGAAAGACAGAAGAACTAGAATAGTTTAAAACATTTGAAACAGATTTAAAGATAAAACAGTCTCATTTCAAAAATTATATAGCTATAATAATCAAGATTCTGTGATACTGACTGGAGGATAGCCACAGTGATCAATAAAACTCACCAATACACCCAACTGTTTTTTTTTTTTTTAAACAAAGGTGCAAAAGCCATTCAATGGAGAAAGAATAGCCTTCCCCACAAATAATACAGGACAACTGCTTACCCACAGGTTAAAAAAAGAAAGAGAAAAACTCAACTAAATACATAAGTTAACTCCACATGAAAAAGGGACTTTTTCTTTTAACGTCAACCATTCTTCTTGATTTAAAGGATAATAGTAATAACATACATACCAAGCACTGTGTGTAGGACTCTACCTGAAACACATCACATATACACTCATTTCTTCCTGCTTAACAAAGACGGCTAATATGATTTTAGAGAAAATAAGGTGATGTGCTGTGTCCAAATTCATACAACTAGAAACTGGCAGTGCTTGATTTTTTTCTTCTTTCAGCAGACCGGATACTCTCTATTATATTTTATGGAATACCTTGCATTATTTCAACAGATGCACACATCATAAACTGATCAAGTCAGGTAGCCAGTATTTTCACAAATTTTCTTTACTTGTGGAGTCTCCAAGCTTTCTTCTTTTGGTTCTTCACATGGCATATAATGCATGTTGTAAACAACAGTCCACACCACTGTGCTGTGTAACAATACAACTTCTATCTAACTGTTTGGTAACCATTATCCCTCTGCACCCTTCCCAGCTTCAAGAAATCAACATAAAGAAAATCATTAAAATTATTCAGTCACAGAAAGTAATGGAGCCTTGATGTTTGCATCAAAATGAATGGTACCAGAGGTCATTATGTTGTGAAATAAGCCAGGCACAGAAGACCAATACCTCATGTTCTATATGTAGAAGTTAAAAACAGATGACCTGAACTTGGATCACGGACTTCAATGTGAAACATCAAACTAAAATTTAGAAATATATAAAAAAAATCTTCAAGATCCACGGTTATGCAATATCCTGAGACCTGACAATAAAAAATTATATGATCCATAAAAGGAAAACTGATTTGGCTTTTTCAAAACAAAATTTTTTCCTCTGCAAAAGACCCTGCTAAGACAATGAAGACAGTCTACAGAATCAAGTATTTCTAAATCATATATTCTAGAAAAAAAAACCAAGTATATCAAATATATAAAGAAATCTCAAAATTCAACCTCAAAAAATAATCCACTTTAAAAATGGAGCAGAGACATGTCACCGAAGAGGACATACAGATGATAAACAGGCACATGAAAAATGCTCAGTGTTAAGGGGTTGCTAATGAAAACCAAGATAAAGTATCTCAACACACCTATCGGAATGGCTACTAATAAAAGATACAGTAGTCCCCCTTATTCATAGCTCTGTTTTCCATGGTTTCAGTTAGCCCTAGTCAACCATGGTCTGAAAATAGTACATGGAAGTTTCCAGAAATAATCAGTTCATAATCTTAAATAAGTTAAATAAATCTTATTACAATACATGTTACAATTATTTTATCAATTGTTTTTAATCTTACTCTGTCTATAACTGTTACAAAAGAAAAGATTTATTTAAAAGAGTTACAGGGGCTGTCACTGTGATGTAGTGGGTAAAGCTGCCACCTGCAGTGCCAGCACTCCACATGGGCGCTGGTTCAAGACCCAGCTTCTCCACTTCCAATCCGGCTCTCTGCTATGGTCTGGGAAATCAATACAAGATGGCCCAAGTCCTTGGGCCCCTGCACCCACATGGGAGACCCAGAAGAAACTCTTGGCACCTGGCTTCAGATTGGCTCAGCTCTGGCCATTGCAGACACCTGGGAAGTGAACCAACATATGAAAGACCTCTCTCCTCCCTCCCTCCCTGCCTCTGTGTCTCTGTAACTGTGCCTTTTTTCAAATAATTAAAAAAAAAAAAAGAGTTACAGAGATATAGAGAGAGACAGGAAACAAGAGAAGTCTCCCATCTGCTGCCTCACTTCTCCAGACAGCCATACAACCAGAGTTTGGGACAAGACAAATCTCCCATGTGGGCATCAGGGGCCCAACCATTTGGGCCATCTTCTCTGCTTTTCTCAGGCCATTAGCAGGGAGCTAGACTGAAAGTGGAGCAGGCAGGACTTGAACCAGTTCCTATAAGGAATGTCAGTGTCTCAGGCAGCGGCTTTACCCATGCCACAACTTCTGTCCCTCAATTAAATTTTATTATAGGTGCATATGCACGTATAGAAAAGATTCATTTTAGTTTGAGTACAATCTGTAGTTTCAGTATCCACTGGGGGATTTGAACATTCTTCCACAGTTACCAGGGTCGGGGGGAGGAAGAACAGCAATGCCAACACCAAATGCTGATGAGGATGTGCAGACAATGGTCATTCACACATTACTGCTGACAATGTAAAACGGTATATCCACTTCAGAACAGCTTAGACATTAGACACACAATCAACACACGACCCTCCTGGGTATTCACCACACAGAAATGGATACTTGTTTTTACCAAAATAAAAGACAGTATACAACTGTAGCAGCTTTATTTGTAACAACTGAAACATGCAAGCCACATGCCCCTGCTGGATGAATGATTAAACCACAGCACACGGAATGCACTGTGAGGTTCCATGGAATACTCAACGATAAAAGGAACAACTATTAAGACACACAACAACCTGGGCAAATCACCACAGTTACCCTGAGAAAATAAATGCCATCCCAACACAATTCTATTTAAATAACATTCTTGAGATGATTAAATTCTAGAAATGAAGAGCAGAGTGGTGTTCGACAGAAGAAGTGCAGAAGGCAGCAGGAAGGAGAGGGTCCGGCTGCAACAGGTCAACACCCAGTGACCCTTCTGACACTGGCTGTTTTCTACTGCCTACAATGTCAACATCCTGGGTGTGATACTGTATTACCAGCATTTGGGGAAACTCAGTAAAGAGGATGATTCTTGTTTTTTTTTTTTTTTTTTTTTTTTTTGACAGGCAGAGTGGACAGTGAGAGAGAGAGACAGAGAGAGAAAGGTCTTCCTTTGCCGTTGGTTCACCCTCCAATGGCCGCCGCGGCCTGCGCACTGCAGCCAGCACACCGCGCTGATCCGAAGCCAGGAGCCAGGTGCTTCTCCTGGTCTCCCATGGGGTGCAGGGCCCAAGCACTTGGGCCATCCTCCACTGCACTCCCGGGCCACAGCAGAGAGCTGGCCTGGAAGAGGGGCAACCGGGACAGAATCTGGTGCCCCGACCGGGACTAGAATCCGGTGTGCTGGCGCTGCAGGCGGAGGATTAGCCTAGTGAGCCGTGGCGCCAGCCTGATCCTTGTTTCTTACAACTGCATGTGAAGCTATAGTTCTCTCAAAATGAGTCAATACTTTAATTGAACTACAGTGAAATGAGATGCGAGAACCATTTTAAAATTACCCAAGGTTTCCTTCAAAATATAGTAAAACAAGCATGAAGAACTATAAAAGAAAAGTAAAAATTAAATAAACCTAAAAAGTTTCAGATGGCACATGAAAATTTTTTCTAGGAAAAAAACTGGTTGTATATTCACATAATCCTCAGTAAACATCGTGTTCCTTAATTATACATTTCAACACTATTTCATGTTGTGGAATATTAGTTTACGTAACTCGCTGGTTATTCCCCCAAATGGCTGCAACCGCTGAGGCTGGGCCAAGTTGAAGGTAAGACCCAGGAATTCCATCCACGACTCCCATGTGGGTACATGGACCCAAGCACTTGAGCCATCCTCTGCTGCCTTCCTAGGGGCTGTGGCAGGTAGCTGGATAGGAAGCAGAGCAGCTGGGACTTGAACAGGTGCTCATATGGGATGCCCGTGCCAGCCCCTGAGATCTTAACACTTCAAACAGATCTTGGACAGGTATTGGACAAACTATAAAACAATGGCATATCTTTGAATATAGTAAATTAAAAAGTATTTATGAAACATGTTTCATAAATTTTCAGCTGCTTTATTTTTATGTTCAAACATAATCATCAAAATTAATTCAAGTAATAAGATTATCAGAAGACACAACAAAGAAGAATCAAGTAGTTGTCACATAAATCCTCTCCAAAAGGAGCCTTCAAAAAGCTAGGGGGAAAATAGCTGGTTGACTGCACTGACACTCAGTGCACTTGTGCACATGTGTACTACACCATGTGAAAACAGATCACACGCAGCCATAATCGGTTCCTAATGCTTCAGAGATAGACAGGGCTCCCCTGAGGTTAATTCCATCCAGATTCAACAATGCAAGTTATTTATCACAGCATAGTCCCCAGATCAAAATGTTATTATAAGCACTAGGTCCCTTCACTCAGGAAAATAATCTTTCTTCCCCTTCCTTTCCACCCTGCTCTAAAATCACAATAATAAACTTTAAATCCTTTAGGTTTGTGAGTTTTGCAATAAAGTATGGTTCAAAGACATAACTCCATGTAGAGAAAAGTAAGAGTTGTCACTGAAAATTATTCTACTCTAAGGTATAGGTCTTGAACACTTAAAGAAGGTTTTTTAAAATCACTAGGCTATACACAAGGCTTACTTTTCAGCATCTATTATTGCTACAGCACTTTAAATATCACTCTTAAAAAATCTGCTAGTTATTTTTGAAATTAGAAACTTGCCGTGCTACATGGGTCATGAATCAACTACAGTACTATTCCCCCCACCCCTACCAACTAATAAACCTGCAGTTAGTGCCTCATTTACTTTGCATAACAAGAGAAAAATTCTAGCTCAGGGTTCTAAAAAGGTGGCAGCTACAGAGTAATTCATCAGGAAGCAGACAAGTGCCTGGTTCTTATCCTATATAAAACTGCCTTCCGGGATTTATAAATAATTTAAAAAATAAACAGATGAGACATGGCCAAAATGCAGATTTAAAGGAAATGAATCAAAGGCAGACAGAGGATGATCAGAGAAAATGTGGGAAATGCAGATGGCAGCACAGAGAAAAGCTCAAAGAACAAGGAGACACAAGAAGGTGCAAGGAAGCACACAGAACCAAAAACATGAGGAGAGAACTCACTGTAGGTGGGGCAAGAAAGCAGAACCAAAGAACAAGTAATAAACAGGTACTTCAGGGAAGCACAAACAATCCCACCATAAATGTTTACAAAAGTAGTACTAATTCCAATTAAGGGTTTTGAATGATTTAACATAGAAAAAAACTACGTTAAAACTCACATTTTTCTATGAATTTGGTACACATTTAAGATCATTTGCTCATTCGATCTCTCAAAGTTATAACAAATTTATCACCTTAAAATTCAACCAAAGTATAAAGATGATGGATACAACGGCCAATTCACCACTTGGTTTCTTCAGCACACTCACTCAATGCCAACTGGAGTCATGACTATTCAAACCTGTGGAATAAGACACTCCCAGAATGCATACCACTTCCAATACGGAAATTCCCCAAATTAAAACTCCCCCACCACCAAGAATCCCACCCCTTCCTCTGGCCTCTGGTGGCAGAGGGTGGGGTCCTCTGGCTTAATATGGCCTGCCTTGGACAGAAAGAACAGCTTCTCTCCACTGCTCTGGGATTAGGTGAATCAGATGATTGGGAAGGTGGTGGCAGCAAACGAACAGGGTTACAAAACCTGTAACAGTCAACACAAGACACATTTCTAACAAGTTTGAAAATGCACAGCAAAGAAAAATTCATTCTTCAAACAGCAATCTTTAGCCGCCTAGTGATGTCTATGGAAGATACCAACATATTAGAAGAATTCAAAGTACAAGGTCTCTATCAATTTGTCTTTTGACATAGTGTGTCTGTCTCTCTCTCTCTCTCTCTCTCCCCCCATAAATTAACCGACCTGGCAGCTGGTTAGGCTACTTGAAAGTTGCACATTTGCATAATGATGTTCTAGTAAAGACCAATTGCTTTAAAATACCTATAGATCTCTGCACTGCACCTGTCTGATGAGAATGAATCCACCAGTTAGTGAAATTCAGGTAACTTTAGGAGCTTCACTCACTCAAAAGCTTGTACATTAAGCGCCTACTGATTCAGATTTTGGCTGAGCCTAGCCAAAAAATACAATGGTGAACAAAAGGAGAGTTACCTCTGACCTGCTGGAGTTTACATTACAACACTAATAACAAACTCACAGAGGTGGCTAGACTGTTAAAGGAAGGGTACTCTAGTCTGAGAATGCGGAAGGCCACACTATGAAAGCGATAAGGACCCACTTTTCCTCCTCTCCCTGAGGTCCTCTCACTTACAAAGCAAAAGAGCAGAACCACAAGTCAAAGTGTTTTGAAATGTTCCTCATTAAATTTGTCAGAGCATCTACTGCAATCAATGAGGACAGTCACTCCAGGGCAAGGCAAAGAGCATTCTTCAATTTGCCCTAAGACTCCAAGGGCCATCGCTACAGGAAGAAATCCTACCGCTAGAGCTTAATTATTGAACAGTATTCATTTCTTTGGTGATTTCCACAACACCCCGGATGGCAGAATCTCCCAAAAATGCCAACATGGTCTGAACATACTTCAAGTCGCTCAACTCTTGAAAGTGGAGCTGGTAGGCGGCGCCGGCACACCGGGTTCTAGTCCCGGTTGGGGTGCCGGATTCTGTCCCGGTTGCCCCTCTTCCAGGCCAGGTCTCTGCTGTGGCCAGGAAGTGCAGTGGAGGATGGCCCAAGTGCTTGGGCCCTGCACCCCATGGGAGACCAGGAGAAGCACCTGGCTCCTGGCTCCTGCCTTTGGATAGGTACGGTGCGCCGGCCACGGCGGCCATTGGAGGGTGAACCAATGGCAAAAGGAAGACCTTTCTCTCTCTCTCTCTCCCTCTCTCTCTCACTGTCCACTCTGCCTGTTAAAAAAAAAAAAATGGAGCTGGTAATCAGCCTGCTGGACTCCCCAGGTCAGCTCTAGCCTCCTTAGAGTAGAGCCAAGATCTCTGGAGTAGAACACAGCACGAAGGGATCACAATCCTGTTCCTGGAACACTGTATAGAGAAGGTATCCTGGCCAGGTACAGAATCACCACCAATACACAAAAGTAGAATAATCTGCACATTAAAAACAAAACTACATGATTTTTTTAAACTACTGTAGCTCCTAATTTGCCTCTTACAATACACACTGAACATATTTCTCAAGTATGTTCAGGGAAAAGCAGCTTAGATGAAAAGAAAATACATTCACTGTGCAAGGTATGAAGACGTCCCTGCTTTCGCAGGACCCGCATTCCTTGCGTGTTTTCAGGGCTGCAGCCTCCTGGCTCTGCTCCCTCCGTGTGCCACACTCTGCACACACACAGCCAGCACACCAACAACCTCCAGCAGAGGACACCACATGGGGCTCCAGTTGGCCTGGCTGACCAGAAGCCCTTCCCTTGCATTAACTCTGCCCCTCTAGGATGAAGCTACGAACAGCAGAAACACCAAAGAAGATTCCTGAGGAAGCTCCCACGAATTCCACAATTCTCAGGAACAAAATCTGAAAACCAGGGCTCTCATTTACATGTTCTTGGGGGAAAGCTGCAACCCATGCCTAGAAATGGGTGTACCAGTTATGGTACATAGCATTAGCTATCTGTAACAATCATTTAACCCTTACCTGCAACTAAAAAAACAAATAGTTAAAATGTGTAATCCTTTTATTAAACACTTAAACCCCACTACACTCTAACTGTATCTAGGATCCATTCTTATTTACTACAGTGCAAGTACATAGAAAGCTCTAAGAAATCAAGTCTTCCAGGGCATGACTGCCAACTGGATGAATTTTCAGAATCATTATCAATGCTCAGAACTGCTACACCCTTCAATCCCACAGAACATTCTAGCTGCATAGTGATTCCAAAGCACTTAATTCTATTTTGAGATTGCTCTTAGAGAAAAACTCTTATGAGTCATACCTTATGTTGTAAAAGAACAGTGTGATGATTAGATTAGCTAATTGTTCCAGATATTGCCCCTTCATTAAAATTACTATCGAAACAAATTGTCACATATTACCACTTCTAGAACAAGAAATGAAAAGGAACAACTTATACATCAATCTATAAATATCATTAATGGTTTAAAGTTTAATTATGCTACATTTCTTGTGTAGCCTAATAATATACCTTTTAAGTAAGTTTAACTGAGAAATATATCGACTATGCATAACTAAGCATACACCAGAGGGAAAAAGATATGCACAATCACAAACCACAAATCCAATAGCAAAGAAAGGTTAATGTTTTTGTTTTTAAAATACTGTCTCTGGGGCTGCCGCTGTTGCATAGCGGGTGAGGTTGCCAACTGCAGTGCCAGCATCCCATTTGGGTGCCAGTTCGAATCCTGGCTGCTCTGCTTCCGATCCAGCTCTCTGTTCTGGCCTAGGAAAGCAGTAGAAGATGGTCCAAGTCCTTGGGCCCCTGCACTCACGTGGGAGACCCGGAAAACGCTCCTGGCTTCAGATCAGTGCAGCTCTGACTTTGCGGCCATCTGGGTAGTGAACCAGTGGATGGAAGACCTCTTTCTCTGCCTCTCCTTCTCTGTTTAACTCTGACTTCCAAATGAATAAATAAACCTTTAAAAAAAAATACTGTTTGCAGTGGGGCTATAGCTCAGCAGTGAAAACACCCACATTCCACCTGGATTCCTGACTTCAGCTTCCTGCCAATGCAGACCCCAGGAGGTAAAAGTGATGGCTCAAGTAACTGGGTTCGGGTTTCTATGTGGGAGATCTGGACTGAGTTCCCAGCTCCAATCCTGGTGCATCTCCAGGCACTAGGGGCTCTAAGGGAGTGAACCAGCAAGATGAGACCTCTGTATTTCTGCCTCTCAAACTAATTTTTTTAAAAAGATAGTGTTACCACAGAAGATATACTTGGTGATCACATTATGCCATGTGTAACTAAATCCTAAAAAGGGGTTCCTAGCTATATACATCAAACTTTCTTGCCCTTTCTCTTCAGTACTATAGGTAACAGCTAGATAATCTCAGCACCACTACATCTCACTTATGAACTTGATTTTCTGGAGTTTGGTTTCTATATCACGTTCAAGTAAAAGAAATGACTGATGAAAAGGGGAACAACATATAAAGACAACAAAACAGACACCATCCCATTCTCTACAACCATGAATATAAACATGCACATCAACTACAGGAGTGTCCAAAGTCTCTCAGAGGAAAAATTCTGAATCTACAAACACATGACACCAAGTTAGAAACGGAGGAGATGCTTAAGAGATTAATGTGGCCAAGCAGGTGTTGCTATGAGATATTTTAAATGAAAATGTTTAAAGACAGAAAAATTATGTGTATAAAAAATGAATCTCTAAAATTAACATCAAGAAAACAATCTCATAATGAGGTTTGCAAAAAATTTTACAAGCTTAAATTAAGTAATCACAGACAGTGTATTTAACTCTACACCTTTCTTGGTTCAAGAAAGTAGTCTTCAGAATACACATAAAGGCCGGCGCCGTGGCTCACTAGGCTAATCCTCCACCTTGCGGCGCCGGCACACCGGGTTCTAGTCCCGGTCGGGGTGCCGGATTCTGTCCCGGTTGCCCCTCTTCCAGGCCAGCTCTCTGCTGTGGCCAGGGAGTGCAGTGGAGGATAGCCCAAGTACTTGGGCCCTGCACCCCATGGGAGACCAGGATAAATACCTGGCTCCTGCCATCGGATCAGCGCGGTGTGCCGGCCGCAGCGCGCTGGCCGCGGCGGCCATTGGAGGGTAAACCAACGGCAAAGGAAGACCTTTCTCTCTCTCCCTCTCTCTCTCACTGTCCACTCTGCCTGTCAAAAAAAAAAAAAAAAAAAGAATACACATAAAAAATTAAACACTGGAAAGATGAAAATAAAATTCAGACCTCACTGAAGGTATTAAAGGAGTGAATCCTAGATATTCAATACAAACTGTGGCATCCTCATTTGCATGGACTATACTACAGGAACTTGTGGTTAAGTTCACAATGACCTGCCTTAATCTTTTTTTAAAGATGTATTTATTTGAAAGTCAGAGTTACACAGAGAGAGAAGGAGAGGCAGGGAGAGGCAGAGAGAGGGTTCCATCCACTGGTTCATTCCCCAATTGGCCACAATGGCTGGAGCTGTGCCAATCTGAAGCCAGCAGCCAGGAGCCTCCTCTCAGTCTCCCACGCAGGTGAAGGGGCCCAAAGACTTGGGCCATCTTCCACTGCTTTCCCAGGGCATAGCAGGGAGCTGGACTGGAAGTGGAGCAGCTGGGTCTTGAACCGGCGCTCATATGGGATGCTGGCACTTCATGCCAGGGCGTTAACCCACTGCGCCACAGCGCTGGCCCCACCTCCTTAATGTTTAAAGAGTTAATACACACAAGGGCTCTGAGACCTCACAATGTCTGACACTTCTTGGTCTGAGTGGTCACTGCTCTGTTTCTATTTTACA